GGATAGGGGGACGTGAGAGAGAACACCTGCTCCCCTGTATCACGCGGGAATTTTCGGGGGGGGGGTGGACAGACAGAGTTGAAGTAATGATTTGGTATCAGTTCAATTATTCAAATTTGATGATGGGGATCATACGATGTGCCACGTGGGGAGGCGGAGGGCTAATTGAAGGACACGAAATCAAAGAGTGATGCATGGAGTCAATATGGAATGATGGATGGTGTGAGAGGTTTGCCGCACCCCACGACGCAATCGTATTCACAAATTAGTGCAAGCTGCGCTGGTTTTCGTCATTTTTAACAACTCCTCCGACACTACCGCTTCAATCCACTTTCTCTCACACTCTCCAATCGTCAGAGAGAGTGTAATCGCAGTCTACATTCAATCCCAACCCAGTTTGTATCAGTTGAATGATCAAATCGAGAAAATGTCGTATTCGGAGGCGCAACCCGACACTACTCTATCACCGTTCTCATGCGTCCGCGTGATATTTAATAACTCTTGACGGAACCGCTTGTGGTGTGTCGCATGTAACCCCGCATCCACATACCGCTTTCACGAAATATCTACAACTCACCTACATTACATACAACTGTTAAATTTACCAAGCTTGCGCATTTCACATATCCGTTCCTCCATGCTGCCAACTTCCCTCTTGTCTATTGATGCTGTCCAATGTTTTGGGATGCAGAGAGAGCTCCTCTAGAAAGAAAGCAAGGCCTACCCCCCTTCAGAAATTGAATTCCTCTGTGATAACCCTGTCCGCGGGCACGTTCAGCGACGACAGCATCGACTTCACACTTTCCATAAAACCTACAGGACCGCAGAGATAAACAACTCGCGACGCAACGTCCGGCACGTGCTCGCCCAAGAAATCCTTTTCGACACGTCCTGAATACTTCTCAATACTCCCTGATTCATCGCCCCCGCCGTCCTTCTCACCCGCAACCTCTTTGCCCGAAATCAACTTGATCAGCTTTGTCCTTCCCTTCGATACTCTCGCGCGCCGGTGCAGTTCGTCCTTGAACGGCATGTCATCCTCACACCGTTCTTGGTGAACCATTACGACATCCGGCGCAACATTTCTCGCACCATCTGAGCGCGCACCAATGCCTCGCAGGATGGCCATGTTGGGCGTGATCCCGATTCCCCCGCTGATCAGCAGCATCTTCTCTGGCAACTCGTCCGTGTTGAACGGCGTCATGTCCCCACCGATTCCGAGCAGCTTCACCTGCAGTCCCACTTTCGCGTGGTCGTGCAACCAGTTCGACATCACCCCTTTGTCTTTGCGTTTCACAGACACCTCAAGCGTGAGATCCCCTTCCGTCGAGTTTGCCACTTCGGACAGAGTCCATGTGCGGATGATCGGCTCGCTGTCGCTCCAGATCTCCGGCATCACCCCAAAGTCAAAAGACGCGTACTGACCTGGCAAGAACGGAATGCGCTCCGCCGCCACAAATCGAAACGTCTTGACCACAGCCGATTCTTCTGTCACCTTGACAAGCGATATTCTCATCGGGTACTTCTCCATTGACTCCGCCCCGCCATCTTCATGCGGCAACATTGGACTGTATGGCGAGTATTCCGGCGACGTCCACCTGTAATTGGTCGCAGGTCCGCGACTCCTGCGGACGGCCGCTATTCGGAAACGCGTCAGCCGCAACGCAGACTTCTCCACGCGTAGAGCTGCGTCCACGTCCCACTCAATACTGGCGCGCCCTGAAAGCTGCACCGTATGGCCGGTGTCAAAGTCAACAAACGAGACGCCCGCTCTATCATCGACTTGCAGGTTTCCGGATGATTGAAACATGCCGTTTCCTCGATACTCCGGCCAGAAGATCTCCTTTCCAGACGCCACACGCACGAAGCCCGGCCGCCCACCCCTGTGGTTGGTGTCTGCCCCGGCGGCCTCGTAGTAAGTCCCAATCCACAACGCATCCGCGCGACCGATAAGCGCCTTGTCGGCTGCTGAAAGAGAGTGGTCTGTTTCATACGCGGCGCCTTCTGGAACCGGCGGGAGCGAGGACGTAGCCTGCGTAACCTCGCGCGCCTGGATGTACTTTGGACAGTTGGGGAACGCCTCCAGGACGGATATCTCGAGAGTTGCACGCGGCCCAGCCGGTGCATCATGAAGCTTCGTGACGACCCCGTTCGTGCGATACCGGCGACGGCTCATCATGTGAAGGGCGATAACACTGACAGGAATTTCTTTCTCGCTCCTCGCGAGATGTTCATAGAGGACATCTCCTCTGGGCAGCCCGTCCAAACGGATGGAAAGCTTATCAGATGAGGTCGAATGCACAAACTGTTGCCCGAACATGAGAGAGACCCAAACAGAATGGCCGGGGGTTTCGGCGGTTGCAGGACCCACGGAGGTGAGAGCAAGGAACCGAAGCTTATGAAGCAAGGAATTTAGAGCACCGCCCTCTGGAAGATGGTCGTTTAGGCCACGAGAAAGCTCATCAGCTACGCCTCGAGTGCCTGCACGGCGCTGTACGCCGAGCTCGCCCGGATGAAAGGAAGCGACTGGAGACATGAGAAGAGGAGTGAAGTTCAGGGGAGTCGAAAGGATGATCGAATGCTAATGGAGCAGGCGGAGGATGGTGAAGATGCGGGAACCGACCTGCCGGCTGCCGGGCTTCACGCCAGTGTGCTGGAAAGTTGTTTCTCTCCTTCGTTGCACCCTTCAAACATGTTCATCTTCATTCCTACTGATCTTTCTTAACCCACGTCAGGCAGTAGAGTAACTGCATTTTAACCTGAGAACTGAGAAACTTGAGAGTGCGACACCTACAAGGCAGCCTTTGGCTGTTTCTACATGGGGGAGAAATAGATACCTGTAGCACGTATGAGAAATTTAGCGTTTTGTATAACGCGAGACATCCCTTATTCGGCCTCGAGTGGCGGCCTATGGGGAGGTGCGTGTCACGCCATGCAAACCGGTGCAAACCACAAGGCATGTTTGACCTTTGCAACAGCCGATTTTATCGCGCGTTCACCTCACTTCGACGGGGAAGATTGATGATGGATGCTTCGAGTTGCAATGCACTAGTGCTGAAGTCGGCGGGCAGGTATGGGATGTGTTGTATAATAGTATGTGCTTTTTGAGATTGTGTTGCGTATCCAGAAAAGTATCCCGCTGCTGGTACTGACTAGGACAGAGGGGAGCTCGATGACATTCTGTGTCCAGCCTCTGCTAGGTTCCGGACGCAGCATGTCATCGAGCTCTCCTCTGTCTTACTCAGCTCTGTCTTACTCAGCTCTGTACTGTACTACCCGTTGACTCCAGGGGCAGAGTTTCTTTCAAAGACCAACACGGCTTTAGAGCTTTAGCTCCTGGAAGCGCTGTTGTCGGAGGATGATCAATTGCTGTACTATACTGCTAGGGCGCGATAGAATGAAAAGACGAACTGTGTGTGTCGGAGACATTTCGAAAGTGCTCTATGCGTATTGCGAACAGCAGATCTCTTGCAGCAGAGCTCTGGAGGGATGTCTGCAAGACTCACAATCGTCAAAAGACAAGTAACGGAATCATGTCTGAAGGAGCCGCATCTATCTAAGAAAACAAGGGCAGGAAAGACCCCACTCACATTTGCTGGCCAAACCCTACTCTACTTCTGCCGCTGTTCTCTCTCTGTTTTGAGACCTCTATCGGATGGCAAGCATCACCCCAACTGGTCCAGGATTACCATATTTAAACATAGCACTGCGAGGACGCGTTGCTGCGACGGCTATATACCTGCTACCGCAAACTTTGCTTCCAATTCCTCTGGTCGCGGAATGCGCTCTTCTTCCGCATAGTAGCCCAGTGTCTTGCTCTTCTCCAACAACACGCTAGTCCAATGCGTCTTCAACCCCAGCGTCCTGCGCTTGTAGTAAACCGTCCCCGACCATGTCGACGCGAAGTCGCCAATGAAGCAACCACATCTCACCGCGAGCTCGCGCTCTACAAAGTTCTGGTCATTATGCAGGAGCGACTGTTTCACGGGCGGCGCCAGCCGCGCCCGCTTTCCGAATGCTTCGCGGAGCTGCCTCACCGTCTCCTCCGGCACGTACGGCGATGCGGCAAGGAAGAGCGCCGGCGTCTGCTCCGCTGCCATCAGCTTGACCACCACGTCCACCAAGTCCGGCATTGGCGCCCAGTACACAGTGTCCGGCTGGTTGATAGCCATGAGCAGCGTAATGCAAACCTTGCCCTCCGTCCCTGGCCTGGGCATACACTCCTTCTCGTCGTAGCGTAGGTGGAGCACGGTAAGCTCCTTGACGTTCCAGCTGGCTGCCATGTTCGCAATCCTAGTCACGGGCTCCACATAGTGCATGAACGAGTACAAATATTCATGCCCAACCCGCCCCCCGTGCGGAAACGTGTGTCCGTCGACCAGCACGCACGCCGGGCGCGACATATCTCTTCCCGCAGCCGGCAGCATCTGCCGGTCGCGAAGCGTGACGAGCTCATTCACCAAGCTCATATCCGGGGGGTGCGACAGCTGCATGTAGCGCCTCTCCACTGCGGCGTTTGCAAACGCGTGTTTGGCGCACTCGTCCTGGTTTTTCGGGGTGATGCCGTCGTGCGGGCACAACAAGAACTGCAGCACCTGCTTCGTCCTGGACGATACCTTAGCGGGGGGCACTTTGTCGGGCTTCTTCGCGCGCGTGAAGATGTAGACATAGTCGAAGCTGCCGGCGCACACATGCGGGAAGTGGGACAGGATGCGGGCATGCGGGGCGACAGCGGGCTGCATGCGACCGAGGTGCCAGTACTTGACGCCGTGTTCCTCGAGGGTGCGCTCCGTGGTAGTTTTGCTAAACTCTCGGCTGGGGAGGGAGGGGAGGAGGAGGTCGAGGTGGGCGTGGCGCGCGAGAACGAGGGCCTCGAGAAGGAAGTAGAGCTGGTTGCCGACGCCGCCGTGCGTGATGGCGACTAGGACGGTGTTTGGACGGCGGGCGACCACGCGCGTGGAGGGGATCGTAGCCGGGTCGTGGCCGGTAGGGGGTAGGGCGGCGGTGAGGTTGTGGGGGCGGGGGGGTGGTGCATGTTGCGCGCGGGGGGAAAGGAAGCTGGAGTAGAGCAGGCCGCAGACGACGAGGATGGCGAGCGTGCGGCGCGCGATGGCGCGTCGCGGCTTAGTGCGGATGAGGGGTTGCTGGACGTGGGAGTGAAGGTGCATGGCGGCGTGGGCGACATGGCGCCCGGGAGGAGGAAGGATGGCGCCGGGGTTTGGTGTATGGAGGTAGGGGGGTGGATGACTGTCGGTGGGGATGCGGCGACTGGAGTCGGTGTCGCTGGGATTTGTCTGTTTCTAGCTAGAATGTCTGACAGTTGGAGTGCGACCGTTCGGGGCGTTGTCGCCGTGCCCACCGACGTCAAGTCAAGCGCTCACCAGCGCTTGACTTGTCTCGTCGTCGACTGGCGAAGACCTCGACGTGCTCCAGTTGCACGGCGTGACAACTGCTGCTGCATGACATGCGCCGAAGACGAAGCGCCGCTTGCCGGACACACCGCACGGCCACTCCGCCGGTGCGGCACTGGTATCACCCGTAAGCAATCGATCGGTGTGGTGACTTTGCATCCCACCCCTTGCCTCGCCTCGCTGCGCAGCTGCAGCTACCACACGCAAGCCGGGACTTCATACATTCCATCTCTGACGCAAACTCACCACACACAGCGGCACCGCCACGCCGGCCGTGCAGGCATTCGCAGTCCTGCACTGCCGCATGGGCTCAGCACACACTCCTACCGCGCCGCCAACAATTTTCCGCGCCTGCGCTGCGCCATCGCCAGCCACCACCTTCTAACGCGCTTTACCTTCGCTCGACGCCGCCCTCTGCTTCCGCCCGACCCCGCTCGCCCCGCCCTGCCAAGCTTGCCGCCATTCCCATCCCCGATGGCGCGCCCGTGCTCGCGGGCTGCACTCGGGCCGCAGTACGTGGAGCGCAGGGGCCGTCTCTTGCGAGCGGGACAGCGGACCGCGGGGGGCGTATTTTTGTGTCAGAAGCGGGGCGCGCAAGGAGTGGCGTCAGTGGAAGCGGGGCTTGCGTCAAATACTTCACAAAAATAAAACTCCTGCCTCACTCTCCACCTGCCGCCCTCTCCCGCCCCCCCCCCCCCCCCCCCCCCCCCCCCCACACCCCCCGTCCCTCGCACTACACGTAGTTGGAAACGAGTTTGCGTGTGACCGAGCGTCGCAACCAACCCAGCCCCACCATGTCCGTCCCCCACCTGGAGTTTGAAGACCTGGTGCGAGTGCGCGGGCGGCGGGACCTAGCGTTTGTGTCGCGCGTGGCCGGCGGCGACACGGATGACGAGTCGCTGGCGTCGGACGACGCATCGTCGGACGGCGACGGCACGGACCAGCGCGGCCGCTTCGTGCGCTGGCTGGACGGCCTTCCCGGCGTGTCCTCGCTTGCCGCCCACCCGCGCACGGACGACCAAGGGAGGAAGCTCATTTCGAGCTACGACGACGATGACATGGACGTCGACGACGAGCCGGACGCCCTGTCCGCTAGCAGCGACGAGAAGCGCGATAAGCGCGATACTAAGGAGCTTCCTGAGGGCTGCGCGCTCGTTGTCATGGCCGCGACGGGGGAGAAGGAGGTGTGCAAGCTCGACGACCTCGAGCTGCTGGATAGGAACTTTGACCCCGGCTTGCTCGCCGCGTGGGTCGAGGAGGGCCCCGACGGTTTGAAGCAGTCGGGCTTGGTGGAGGAGGTGCGCAAGACCGTCATCGTGAGAAGGGTCGTCGATATTACTCCGGCCACGGTCGCTGTTGCTGATGACGCCACAACGTTCGAGCTACCTGCGGAGCGCCTGGGTTTCTTCTTGGGCATCCGCGCGGGCGACACAGTTGTCAGCGGGTCCTGGGTTGGTGTCATTGATCACTTTCAGGAGGATGTCTTTGTCGAATTCTCAGACGGCGCCATCGCCTGCATGCCGGGGCATCGCAAGGCACTGCTGAACGTCGATGAACGAACGCCCGATCGCGCGAGGCCAGACCCCTTCACCGAAGGATTGTATTATCCAGGACAGAAGGTTCGCTCTATCCCGCCTGTGTGGCAGGCGGTCGCTACCTGGATCCGAGGGGGGTATTCGGGCAAGGATGAGGGCATCGTCAAGTCGGTGTCCGTCGGCGATGTCAGCATCGAGTGGGTCGCCAAGAGCATGTATGCAAGCCACAGTGATGAATCGAGAAAGGAAGAGGGCCTTCAAGTGATGAGGTTCGCCGACGTCACACTACTCGAGGGCTTTCGGAGCCTCTTGTGGTCTGTTGGCGACCGTGGCTACTTGCTCGAGCCGGAGCTCGCGGATGGCCGTGTCGCGGATCGTGCCACGCCTGTGGATGGCGCTAATGGTGTCATAGGTACGGAGGTAGTGGAAGAGGCCGATGACGGTGATGATGGCGACTGGGAGGAGGATCTGGTGCTGGACCACAGTGGCGCTGGGCCGTCATCCTCACCTGCAATGCCGCCAAGGAAGATGCGGTCAAGACGGCACGGGGGGCGGCTTATGAAGGCCCAACGGAGAGCGAGGGAGCGCAGCGCGGGCGGCGCCAATGTGGCTACCGTTACTGATGCCACGGTGGCGAGTGCCTCGGCAAAACCAGAAGATGTCGTGCAAGTTGTTGGTACCAAGACCACGGCTGACATCGTATGGCAGGATGGCTCCAGGTCGAAGGGCGTGCCAACTACGAGCTTGCGATTGCTGCATCACTCGGACCCGTACGACTTTTGGCCCGGAACCGTTGTCCTCAGGACGGACGAGGAAGCGGATGTCCCAGGGAATGAGGGCACAGAGGTAAAGAAGCCTTCCTTATTCGACATCAAAAAGGGTGCAGTGGTCAAGGTGAATCAGAATGAACGAACCGCTCTCGTCAAATGGCAAAAGGACTCAGAATCTGCGTTCATCGTGGAAGAGGAGATGAGCGTTTATGACCTCAAGATTGCAGAGTATGAAGTGGGTGTTGGAGAAACAGTATTGCATGTGCCGCAACAGAGTGACGAACAGCGAAACGAGTGGGTCGGGGTGATTACCAAGCAGGCCATGGGGGAGAGCACCGTTGCCTGGACGGGTGGTAAAGTGAGTGCAGTTCCAACAACTGAGCTTTTATACATTACAGGCGGGGATGATGAGTCGTTCGAGGGAATGGAACATTACTCGCTTGAGGGGAGCGATCAACCAAGCCCTGGCTCATCAGATGAAATCCCTTCGCGAGAAGCGCCCCCCCATTTTCAAGTACAAGACAGCCCGGTCTATCAGCAGAATTGGGGAACAGATGACGACGGGGAGGACGGTGGTGATAGCGATCATGTAGTGTTTTCGTTTCTTGCTGGGAAAGAAGTAATCAAACGCCACCTTTCGAGTGCTACGATTCGCGCTTTCCACAGGGGCGCAGATTGGGTCAAGTTTGAGCGTTCAGTAGAGAATATTGGAACCGATGTGAGTGACAGGCTGAAAGTCAGACGCTTCATGCCGGATGGATCTCTGAGAAGGCGGGAGATCTCAACCGATGAAGAACGCCGCCTAGCGGGCGCTTTTGTGTTCAAGGTTCTTGGCGACCTTCTTTTGCAATTCGAAAGAGAAAGGGACGAGGACGTTGACGCTGAAGTCCGCTCGGAAGAAGCTGCAAATGACGAATGGACGGATTTCGTGAATCTAGTCGTTTTAATATTCGGTCGGATAATGAAGAAAGAAACAGAATGGCTATCCAAACAATTGGCCATGGTTGGGGAGAAAGTCGATGTTAAATTGGCAGACAGCACTCTGCATGGCGAGAAGAATGAAGCAGATGCTCGAGAAATGGAGATCACAGATGAGCAAGTTAATGTGCCATCCGAGGCAGACTCAGGAGGGCCAGCGAGCTTTGAAGTTCTTCCAGACCTTAACGTCTTCCACCACTTCATGGATGTCCCCTGGGATGCGACCTACAGCAAAGGATTTCTGACCGTGGTCCACAAGGAATGGAATCGCCTCAGGAAAAGTCTACCCCCGGGCATGATCGTCCGTGCATGCGAGTCCACTGTCGATAGATTCCGCGCCGGGATTGTTGGTCCTGAAGACACGCCTTACGCCGACGTCATCTTCTTTTTCGATATCCGCCTGGGCCCCAAGTATCCCGTCATGCCACCTCATGTATGGTTTCATTCTCATGGTCGACGGCTGAACCCGAACTTGTACGATGACGGAAGGGTCTGCCTCAGTATTCTCGGAACATGGGATGGAGACGATATCGAGTCATGGAATGCAAAGACGAGCAACCTGTTGAGGGTTTTGCTGAGTTTACAAGCTTTGGTGTTTGTGGAAGAGCCGTACTACAATGAAGCAGGATACGGAAAACAGAAGGGGACCAAAGAGGGCCATACCAACTCAAGAATGTACAACGAAAGCGCACTCCTGCTCTCTATGAGGTATATCTTGCAGTCGTTGAAAGTGGGGAACCTTCCCGAGGATTGCAGGGACATTGCGATAAGTCATTACCGCAAAGCGGGGCCAAAATTACTGGAAAGGTGCCGTCAACTTATTCAGGCTAAAGACGTGAAGCCAGCAGGTCCTAGCTCAGATACTGGGGACGCAGGGACGTCGGATCAACAGCCTTACCCTTCTGTAGGCTTCCAAAGGTCGTTGGTCCAGCTCCTGGGATCTCTTGAAGGTGTGTTTTCTTCTTTGGAGAAGGATGAAAGCTAACCACTAGCCCTGCGCTTCTACGGCTGCACAGGGAACGAGTGTATTTAACTTTTTGAGATAAAATCTTGAGGGCTTCGGTAGAGTTGATGTAGTACAGACATACCCAGGGCAAGGCTAATTGTAATTGTAAATAGTGTTTACTCCGACACCAGCTCGAGTTTTGGGGTTGGTCCGACGCTGCGTCCTCTTGCAGGACAATGCAAGACGAAGAAACACGCATAATCAACACAAAGCACTCACGACATGAAACGAGCACTAGGAGAGCCTTCTACATACAAGCGGAGCAAGTCATCCCACCCGCGCTTAAAAGAGTCAGGGACTAGTTGAGTTGTGTTGTTTACTTACAGGTTGGGAAAGAGCTTTGGCTAACGTACAATATTCACAAACGCTACGCAGAAATATACGAAGTTAAAATTGGGCAGTTGCCATGCAGGTTGGCGGGCTAGAAGGTACATTTGTCGTCCTCGAACAAGTGATGACGCATTTGCGATGGGGATGTTTAGAGCTGCAATCCAGCGGAGCAAATGCAAAATACCTCAAGGTCACTTGTTGGGGGAATAGAAATTGGCATACGGGCATCACGGCATGCCGTCGAGACAAGGCAAACTTGTTCCGCATCAGCCTAGAACAGAAGTCTTTGAACGAGGGTTGAGCCTCACACTCCGACGTTGTCCCCACCAGCTCCACCTCTCCGTATGCAAGAGGCAGAAATCGGTTGAAAAAAAGCTGCAAGGCGGACCGCCATATTGCTGGCGCAGCATGAGAGCTGCTTCTCGCCAACACTTGACACCTCACCGCATAGATACAATAGCATGAATAGTACATGACAGACAGGCGACGACGAGCGGGATTTCCACGTTATGCGCCCTCCGTCTCGAATGTAAGAGTTAAAAAAAGAGCTTCAACATGAGTCACCAAAGCCCTCCAGCTTCGAGACTCGCAAAAACAAGCCGCGCATGCGCACGACTACGCCGCCTTCTCTCGGTGAGCCTCCGGTTGATTGCGCGTTTCCCCAGTGGCCAGCCTCCAAATTTTGTTGAGCCAGGTCAAGTTGAGGACGAAGCCCGCCACGACGGAGCCCAAGGTAATGACAACAGCCCACCTGGGCACGGTATCCGGCACGTCGGAGACAATGGTGAACTGGTAGGCCATGCCGGCGCCGTAGACGAAAAACCTAGTGACGACAAACAGCAGAGCGAAGATCATCTGTACCGGGCGGAAGAACCAGGCATCGCCGTAGCCGCTGCGGATCAAAAACCAGCGCAGGTTCAAAAAGGGGGTGCTCGCCTCGCCGATGATGAGCCACGAGAACATGAACGGGCAGAGGTTGTAAGCGCCGGCGACGACGGCGCACAACAGGAAGGCGAGGTGGTGCAAGACGGTATCGAGGCCGCCGAGCGCGGGGTACTGGCGGAGGATGTGGACCAGGTCTGCGAAGAGGTAGGTAGCGAGGAGGATGTTGGTGTCGAGGACGCGGCGGGTCTCGGCGGCGAAGGGGAGGACGGCGAGCGGCAGGGAGGCGGCCAGGGCCGGCGGCGGGTGCTGCAGCTGGATGTGGACCGGGGCGTGCAGCAGGATGCGCAGGTGCTGCAGGCCGCGCGTGGTGACGATGACGGCGTGGATGGTCGAGAGGATGTAGGCCGGGGCTTCTTGCTGCAGGCGGAGGCGGACCGACTTGGAGGGGAGGAACGCGTGCGAGGAGGGGTGAGAGAGGGCGTGGGTGAGGAGGGAGGAGGTGGCGAGATAAGTCAGGTGCCAGAGGGAGGAGGCCACGAAGAAGGATGTGACGTCCATGGCGATGGGGGGGGTGGGTCGGGTGGGGCGGGTGGGGCGGGGACTGGGGAGGTGGTGGGGGAGCAGCGTACTCATCCGACGGGTCACCCTGTTGAAGGTGCGAGCGAGTGCTGGTGCTGGTGCCAGCACTGCCAGCAGTCAGTCTCTCATGGCACCATCCCGAGCCTCGGCAATCACAATCGCGATTTCCCCTATGCCTCCACATGTCTCTTCTCCATTGGTTCGCAGCAATTGTTTTCGGGTTTGCTCTGTCACCTTTGTCGCACGTGTCCACGTCATCCGCGTTCTACACGTTTTCCATTCATACACGTTGTATAGTCTTCCACGTGTATGAGGTGGCACCACAACGGAAAGAGCACTACGTGTACACTGTACAGGGCTGAAGCTATTCGTACTTTATTGCATCTAGTCGGTCGCTGTACACGCAACACATGACTACAAAGGACTAAACAGATCCATCTTCCCTTTCGTGGACGATCCACCATCGCTCCCCAGCTCCCATACATTGATCCCGATGCACCTGTCCGACCCCCCTACCCTCCCCCTTATCCTCTTCTCCCTCTCGCTCCTCGTCTACCATGCCCTCGAAGTCCTCCTCGTCCTGTTCCACACGCCCGCCGAGTTCGACCGTTCCTCCTTCCTGTTCTCGCCGGCCTACGTCCTCGCCATGACCCTCTCGCTGCTCGAGTACCTGCTAACCTGGCGTTTCTTCCCCGCCTTCAAAACCACCCTGCGTCTGCCGGGCCTTCTCCTAGGCGCCGTCCTAGCCTTCTCCGGCGACCTTCTGCGCAAGCTTGCCTGGCTCACGGCCCGCCACTCCTTCACCCACCGCATCCAGACCACCCGCCGCCCGGCCCACGTCCTCGTCCGCAAGGGCGTGTACGCGTGGGCGCGCCACCCGGCCTACCTGGGCTGGTTCGTGTGGGCCGTCGGCACCCAGGTCCTGCTCGCCAACCTCGTCTCTTCCGTCGCCTTCGCGCTCGCCGCATGGCGCTTCTTTCGACACCGCATCCCCGTCGAGGAGCACTACTTGGTCCGCATGTTCGGCCGCGAGTATGAGCTTTATCGACAGAACACTCCCACAAGAATCCCCGGCATCCCCTGATTCGACCCCCCGCCCCACCTGGACCGCACCTCTATTTGCGACACCCACCCCGCCTCAGTCATCGGTACTGCCGACCAGCCCTTCCAACTCGCCCAGAGAGAACCCCGCCAGGCTTTCTAGTTGCGGCAACGCGCCTCGCGCTTCCTCGCCACGCAACCCCGCCGGCATCTCCGCGAGCCACCCGAACAAGTCCCCTTCGTCTTCCAAGTCCAGCCCCCTCTCCTTCCCCACCCCCTCCGACACTCCATTCGTCGACCTCGTATCCTCCCTATCCTGCTCCTTCCCGCCCCCAAACCCGCCGACCACGTTAGTCTCTGTGACCGACACGGGCTGTGTCTGCCTCGCCCCACCCTGCATCCTCACCTCTATCAGCCCCACGGAACCCAGCCCGACGCCCTGGTACGCCGCCACCTCGGCTTCCTTTGACGCAAACTGGTAGGCAACCGGCCTTCTGCCCCGGCACGTCTCGAGCTTCTGCAGCAGCGCGCGCACAACCGTCCACTCGGACTCGCCACGCATGCTCACCACGATCTGCCGCAGCACCCCGTTCTCCACCTGCAGGTGCGCGCAGTTCTCCTGCAGGCTTTTCAGCCGCCCCGCGTTGCGCAGCCGCGTGCGCATGCTCCGCTCCCGCCCCTTCCGGTTCCGCTCTGCGATCTTCTCCTCCTCGGACATCCCGCGCCGCGGCTTGCTGCCCACGCCCGCCGCAGACTTCCCGTACCCCGAAGACTTGCCGCTGCCGAGCGTGCTGCCCGCTTGTTGACGTCCCGCCTTCTCGGTGGCCAGGCCGCGCGCCCCACCCTGCAGGTTTTGCGACGGATTTACGCGACCTACCGATCCAAGCTTGTCTCCGTCTGACGACAGCGACTGCGGGAAGGGCTGCAGGACTGACGTCTGGCAGCAGCTCTGCAGGTTGCCGGTCGTGGGGAAGGGCTCATGCTTCTCTTTGATTCCGCAGCGCTTGTCTCTGGGGTTCACCCATTCGGCGAGGTCGGTTGCTTGTTGTATTTGCCCGATGGTTCTTTCGTTGTCAACTGCGTCTCGCGACAGGGACAGTTCTTGTTGGAATTGCCCGCGCATTGCAGTTTAAGATTTGCGATCTGTCGGAGAAACAGATTTCATCCGCACTTGCGCTAGGGTATATCTCAGCTTCCAAAGAACAGGCGAAAGGCTCCCTACGCACGCATGCGCAAACAATTCTGACTTGGAATGGAAAAAAGCAAACCCTGCGCCAACCACGATCGGCTCGTATAGAAGATGGCGCCGCCCTTGGGCTCAGAACTGCGTTGCCATAACCGTTGGAAGTGATGAGTGCTCGTCTCTTGTACTATCAAAGCTTATGCTTGTGATCGAAACAGTTTATTCTTTGCCAACGTCTAGATCTAGTTGCAATGAAATCGCCGACACACTTTCAAGTCCAATTCTAGGCAGTGTTCTTTCCCATAATATTGTCTGGGGTTGCTACAGAGATTCAAGGCGTGTGGCCATTTCACCTGACCACGTCCGCCTCCCTCAGGATGTAATATGATAGTATGAGTCGAATTATCCCGTTGCATTCTTCAGGTGGTATTGCATCGCATTATCACGGGCTTTGGAATCTCGGCGAACGTGTACTTTCCGTAAGTCCCAGTCGTTTCTTGCACCTCAGGTTTGAGGATTGCCTGCGGGGGGAATTTGCAGCCCGTGTGCAACACGTCATCTATCTATTGACAAGTGAAGAGTCAATTCGATCATTCGCCACGGGGGACGCTTGGTTTCAGAAGAGTGGCGGGGTCTTTGACTTTCAATCAAAGCACAACAAAACGGGGTTGCTCGAATTAGAAAATGCGCAAATCAAGATCAGATCAGGTCTCACGTACGCGCGACTGTACGGTAGCACGGCGATGTGGTCTGTTTCCAATCTGAACAGCAAAGGCCTTCGAAACAGCTTGCCGCCGGAGGACGTGTTCAAAACTGAGTGGACGCGCAAGTGGACATGCGCTCACGGAGAGAAAAGTTTTCATCGACCCTTAAGGTCGTCCTCACACACCGTCGTCCTCACACACCGTCGTTCACTCTCCGCTTCGCAGCGCGTCCGCCCGTGGGTGAGTACGCTGTGGACCTTTACATGGCAAACTCAGTGCGGAATCTGGTAGCTACCAGATAGCTACATAGGGCATGATACTTTCACCGGTGATTTCATTGGCGCAAATGACGGAATGTGATCCAACCTCACGATTAGGAAAAGACCACAAACGCGCTTGCAAGCGCACGAGATGTGGTTTTACGGATGACTTGTACCAAGCGGGAACCGCTGCTGCAGTCTGGCACCGCCTGATTATATCAACTCACGTTTTAGCAGGAAGCGCGATATGATGTGTGTCGTATAGAACGGAGTACTCTGACGTGCGGGGCAGCGGGGCATGTATATAGACTCGCACTCCAATCCCACCGTGCTAGTGAAGTCGCATACAAATAACAACAGCCTCCCCTGTCGCGTTGCCAACCCAACCCCCTTTGGAATAAAAGTTAACTATTAACTGTGAACTTATTCTTGCACTGCTCGTTCAAGCAGGTATAAAAAATAGTCTGTCCCTCATCCACACCCCGAAGCTGTGCCGTATGGTAGGAAAGCCTGCCATACTTACACTTGGGACACTCCTCGTCAATGACGGCCTCCTCCCCCCTCCCAGACTCATCGCGACCAGAAAGGCGCAGCAGGATTTCCGAGCGCTCAATCGGGATGTCGAGGGAGGAGCCCTCGATCTTCCTTGACACCTCCTCGATCGGAACTGGACACGCGCGACGGGTCGGCGGATGCGGGCAGCGAGGTGTTTCATCGCGTCAGTCTTTGCGTCTCTCTTTGCTCGTGGCAATGCGCGGGAGGGGGGAGCGGGGCAGGGACGCACCTTTCGCTTTGCAGAGAGGACAGTCGAAGTTTTTGCCATCCGTGCTGCGCGGCTCGCGGAAGGCGCCGCATGAGGCGCAGAAGAGAACGTCTTCCATGTGCGACGGGCCACGCGGGTGAGAGTCAAGCCAGCGCTCCGTGCGACGGGGATCGAGGAGGGACACCGACCGCCTTTCTTCCTGGGCAGAAGAGACACGTGTTACATCTGTACGACGTGTGTGTAAAACGTAGAAACTCTTCCTCGGTACACGTGTGGGCACTCGATGGCCACTCGATGGCGTCAAGGCCCTCATCTGATCTGATCTGATCACGCTAGATTAGAGAATACAGAATAGACTCGCGGTACAGTAGAGATGCTCTCAAGAGCTCTCAAGAGCATCTCTACCCGCGAGTCATACTCTAATCTAATGACAAATTTTTCGGCGGCAGGGTCACCTCCGTTGCAACCCTCAAGCGCGGAGACGAGTGCATGCAAACGGTGCAACTTCGAATTCATCCCTACTCATCGCCGCTCTTATCGTTTGCAATTCCTGTATCATGGCAAGCGCGCAATTCCAACTCATGCTTCAGCTGCATCCATGTCTACCAAGTCTTCCCTTTGCCGTGCCGTGAACAGCTCCCTGCTCACCACTCTCGCCCACTCCATCCCCGCACGATGAAGACCCTAGTCCTTTTTCTCTCCCTCCTCACTCTCACCGCCTCTCAAAAAATCTCTCTCAAAGTCAACCTAGCCGGCGGCCCCGTCGGCGACTTCCTCGGCGAGGACCAAGTCCTCGACATGACCGGCTTCTCCAAAAACGTCGTGCGCGACCCCATCCAAAACACGGACCAACCGGAGGTCTTCCAATCGCAGCGCTTCGCGCGTTCCTCCGACCTAACCCTACGCCTCCCCGTCCCAGACGGCATCTACTCCGTCACCTTGCTCTTCGCCGAGACGTTCCGCCGCGCCTGCGTCGCCGGCGCGCGCGTCTTCGACATCTCGCTCGGCACCCCCGTCTCTGGCGTCACGAAAGTCGTGGACAAGTTCGACCTGTTTCAGACGGCTGGCTGCCAGGCGGCACATGGCAAGAGATTCGATGGCGTCCCGTCCAAAGACGGCATCGTCGTCCATCTGTCCCAGGTCGCTCAGCACCCCTCCCTCGCCGGCTTTATCATCGAAGGCTTCCCGCAGCCAAAGGGGAACGGAAAGGAGTATCAGGCCATCGCCCAGGCCCAGATAAACCCCGCTACCTATGGTACCGCCATGCCCGCCGCCGACGCGGCCTTGGGCGCCCAGTCGCCGGCCGCGATGGCCATGCACCAAGGCCAGGGTGCCCCGGGTATGCCGGGAGCTCCCGCGCCGAGGCCGTCAGGGATGGAGGCGCCGCCGGGTGCGCTCTCAGGCGCACAACCGCCGACTGGAGCGATGGGCCCAGTGCCCGGCGCACCGGGCGGTTTCGGTGCGGCTAGACGACTGCTTTCGGTGATGGCGCATGAGGAGGAGCTCGTGGCGAAGACGCACGATATCCCACTGCTCAGGGCTGTGGGGCGCGCGCACTCAAGAGGACTCAAAGCTATGCCCGTGGAGGCGACATATTTGCAAGACCCAGATGCGACTGTTCGCGACTAAAGCAGATGCGGATAGATGAGGAGTCGTCTTGACTTTGCTGGGAGGCAAATGCAGGTTGGGGATATTGTAAGGAGCGTTGCAATCGCACTTTTGCGGCAGGATGATAAAGTATCCAGGTTCTTAACGGGCGTCAAGGATGAATCCGATCGCCGTTGCTGTGTACGACCGTCCATCTGGGCGTAAATTTATCTCGTCGTTTTATCGTTGTCCTTCTTTATTCAGGTATCAACTTCAATTCATGAATTCTTCTTATAGCTGAACGGCTCCCGTTCATCACACGAATCATACTTCAGCACAGAACAATCTCGCTCTGGAGAATGGCGATGTCTGCCTGTTTTGCATGGAGCGGACGCGGACATTCAATATAGTGAGAAACTCTTATCTTACATACACAGCAGTTCAGACGATAGAGCTTTGACAAGACTTTGCAAAAGAACGAACATCCTCGTGATTCCAGCATTGCGACAAACTTCCACATCGCATGACAGCATCTGTTCTGTAGTATCCTATCCTGTTTTCTGCTACCTTCCACGCTTCGCTTTCAGTCTCAGTTTCGAGTCACCACGAACTCTATCTCCCTCAAAGCGATGGTACAGGCCTCTAGAGCCGGGCTTCGCCGAAGGCTTTTGCTCCATCTTGCCCTAGTTTTCGCCCACTTCTATGTATGTGGTAGTATTCACCTCAGCCCAGATACACACAAACTTCTCAACGTCGCCGCCGCCATTCCGCTCCGATACAAACAAATCGTTGATGAGCTACAGCAATTACCAATGCCACTACCCGCAATCAGCAGCAGCAAATTTTCCTTGTCTTCGTTAACTCCATTTTGTGCAAAGTTCACCGTTCCTGAGATTGAAGCAAATGTAGTGCCGGAATGTATCAGATGGGAGGTATGTACATCTACTCAGTTGAGGCGTTTATTCGCGAGTGGGTTTCTATGTCGGTCAACAACTGAAGAGGACGATTCTGACATTTTTCTATTGATCCTTGATTCTGTAATGGCCTAGGAGCAAGAGCTCGATATGCTGCTTATGTACCTCGACTTGATTGCCTCCGGAATGAATGAAGATTTAGCCAAGGGGTTTTACGAAGAAGTCCGATGTTTGAGTAGGGCAAACATCAATCCCGCCCCGCAACAAAATATTTGGGAGGTCTGCTTCTCGTACGACTACTCTGAAATGGTTGGCGACCTTCTCAGTCAGTATATTAACAAAGACTTTAATCTTCTGCAATCATCCCTTGACACTTCCGAGCGGACTGGAGTCAATTCTACGACGAGATTCTTTTCTGCAAGCTCTGCCGCTGGTCGCAGACCAACCTACTTCATGTCTATGTTTGGGGACGGGAGAAACTTCAGGATGTACTCATCCAGGGAAGAGCAACTCATGGAAAAGTCTTGCTGTGAAACCTGCGCGTCCACCAGGTACTTTGTAAACGTTCAGAAGAATGAGTGCCTGAAGAATCCATTCGGGAAGCATTGTTGTCACGTAGCCTGCAAGTCTTTGGGGCGATTGAAGGTCGGAGTGTCGTCCTCAATTGCTTACTGTTGCCCCAGATGTCGACCTCAAGCCTGCAAGGCCTAACCTTGGCACACAAGGACTGGTCAAATGCTTCGCTAGTAGTTAGCTGCATCAAGGACCGGGAGACTGTGAGGAAAATACCGCTAGACAGCTCAACAGACAAAAATCTGTTCAAGCAGAACGCATTTTCAATCTTCATTCCGTTCCGACTCATGCGAACGGCCTTAATGTACAGTATCATTGTCGCACGAATACCTATACATTATGATCGATCTATGCTTCATGACAAGTGTCTTACCTAGTCCCAATAGTGATGAGCTTCATTTTACAGGCCTCTCGAGAGGTCTAACTATCTATGGACTCGGCTTGCGATGATGGCGGCGGCGTTTCCACGTTATCAAGTGCTCCTGATGATGGCGGCGGCGTTTCGACGTTATCAAGTGCTCCTGATGATGACGACGACGCTATTCCTTCTGATTCTTCCGCTACCAATCTGCGTAGAGCTACTGGTCGCATATCTTCTAAAGTAGAACTGCGAACGTGAGTTGCGCTTCCCGGGAGGGCAATTTCGATAATGCTCTCTATCAAGTGTGCAACATCAATTGAACTTCGCAGATAGAATCGCGCATTACTCGGCTTGACGCCGACTGTTGCAGTAAAGAGATGACTGTCTTTTGTAGCTGCGTTCTCCGCGAGCACTGCAAACATGTCCTCGTCCGTCCTATCATCACCGCAACAGAGGACAAAGTCAGGGCTTTCCTCCAAATCTCTCAACACCTGTGCCACCATGTTACCCTTATTGACATTTGCAAGCCTCACTTGCAACCACCCTTGCCCATTCACGACCTCAACGTTGAAGGTATTCAGAATACTTTCAAGATGGTCGTGCATTTCCTTTGCCTGCCAAGTACCAAACTCGGGATCTGCGGCGAGGTAGTGCCACACAAGCCCGGCAGATTTCTCCTCGATGTACGAACCATCTGTGCGCTCCGTGTATAATTGCATTATTCGGTACGCTACTTCAATCCACGACAGGTCGGCGCCTGGAGCCAAGTTCTCAAATTCTGTTCCACCCGGCCTCTTGTAATAAAAGCCATGTTCTGCTGCGATTCCAAGGGATTTCATGTGTGCTAGATGGAAACCGTCTGTCGCGGTGCCTCGGCCGGATAAAATTACCACTGTGCTGTTCTTCTGTTTGGACAGAAGTTCCAGGTTGCGCATTACATCCTCGGTTGGTCTTGCCCACGTGTGTGCCATTCGAGAGCTTTCGGATTCAATTTGTGTAAGTGTTCCGTCATAATCGAATAGGAATAATCGCCTCTCTGACTCCCGGAATGCCTTAACGACCGTTCTTGCATTCAACATAGTGAAGTCTTCAAACTCGATCTTGCGGAAGCCGCGACCTCGGCTCAAACCCAGTCTCACAACTTCCTTCACGGACTCGGAAGCCTCTCTCAGGTCTCCAAGGAAGGACTCCGCCCAATTGGACGAACTGTTCAACGTAACATACTTACGATCCGCCTCATGCTTCAGTCGAATTTCAGCTGCCCTTGTTTCCTTCTTTTGAATAACGTTGTCGATGGCATCCCTTAGCTCATCAACGTTCCATGGATTCACACGGACGGCAGAAGACAGAGCCCGTGAACAACCTGTAAACTCCGAAAGAATGAGCTGTCCTTTACCCTGCGGAGTTGACACAATATACTCGTACGGGATGAGATTGAGGCCGTCTCGAATTGGTGTCAAAAGCAAGGCATCGCAAACCGAGTACAAAGCCATTCTCTCATCAAAAGTGATGTTTTGTTCAATGTACAGGACGGGCTTATGATCCGCGGTACCATAGGTAGAATTGATCTTGTCAACCAGTTCTCGAATTTCTTGTCGCACCGAAACATTCACTCTGGCTGCTTTTGGAATCGCGACTTGAATGAGGGCAACGTTCGAACGAACGCGCTCTGACGACGTGGAGAGATAGTCTTCAAACGCGATAAGTTTCAAGGCAATACCCTTGATGATATCCAGATCGTCAATGGCTCCAATCAGGGTCTTACCAGGATACTTGGCCTCTAGCTCTGCAGCCTTTTGTCGTAGGCGAGAGACGCCAATTCGGTCATTAAAGCGCTCTGGATCAACCCCGATATGACTGACCCTGATCATGACATGGCGTCCTTCATACTCAATACCGAGACTTCCGCGGCGAGCCTCATGTTCAAGGTTGAGCAGCCTAACACAAGCAGAAAGAAAATGTCTAGCGTAATCGAAAAGGTGAAAGCCAAGCATGGTAGCACTGAGCAAGCCCTTCAAGATCTCGTTCCGCACGGGCATCATTCTGAAAATCTCGGAGCTCGGCCAGGGAATGTGGAGATACAAGCCAATCTTGACGCCGCTTAGCTTAATGCGCAGGTAGTAGGGCAACAGCATGAGATGGTAGTCATGAACCCAGATAAGATGTTTCTCGTAATGCTCGACGATAATGTTGCTAAAAGTCCTGTTGACGCGCTGGTAGGCATGCCATGATTCCTGATCAAAGCGCTTGGTGTGGCCATCGGTGCTGACGTTGGTGAGCATATGAAAAGCCGGCCAGAGGGTATCTTTGCAAAAGCCTTGGTAAAACTTGGTGCGGGTCTCCTGGGGCAAATACACGGGCACGGCGTTGAAGTCGTCTAACAGGACTCTGGAGATGTGGTCGCGATCGGCGGGCGGAATGGGGGTATCAGTATTAATAATGCCGATCCACAGGGGCTTGATTTTGAGCTCCTCCAAGCCTCTGCGCAAGCCCGTGGACGTGAGATACAGGGCGTCGTCATCCCAGGCAAAGGACCATTTGCCGTCGGGGTCACACGTCGCGATGACAGGAAGGCGATACAGGACGATGATGAGGCCCTCCTGGTCTGAGCCGATGCTGACGGGACTCGCAGGGGCCGATCTGCCCTCCGCCTCGAGTTCTCTCTCCCTCGACAGGGAATGCTGTCTCGCCAAGCCACGAGCGACGGTCTGGACACGGTCCTCGTCGAGGTTATTCAAGGTGCCAAAGACCCCCTCGTTGACGACCATATTGGCGCCGCCCTCGGTATCAACGAATCTGTTTTCCTCGAAATCCTCCCAGTGATCGACCTTGGCATCGACCAAGGGATCGGCGACGTTTTGGAAACCGTGGGTATCATTCGGATTGAAGGCGCGGGGTGGCTCCTCGGTGCCTGCCATGCACACATACTTGTAATGGAACCTAATTGCCGCCGGCAAAGTGACGGAAATCCTCCAAATCGGAAAGTCACCTACCGAGGTGGTGAGCTCGATTCCCCGGAGCGGGTCCCACCCCCCCAGGGCGGCATGATCGCCGACGATGCGCAAGCGCTGTCCGAAACGGGTCTCGCAGCTTACGACGAAGGTAACGCGGGTCTCCTGCGAGGAGAGGCGGACCATGTTGCGAGTGCGAGCCGCGGGGGGGGGAAGAGAGGGGCGGAGGAAGGGGGGGGGAGGGGGGGGCGGAGGGTGGCGCGCACGAGCCTTGTCTTCGATGTGGGGATTTTCGGGAACAACGGTGGTGGATAGTGGGGCAAAGGGGGAGGTGCGGTGCGAGTAGAGGATGTGTGGCGACGAGGTAGGGTGCGGGCAGATTGTGAAATTGGGAAGTTTTTGAGCGGTGCAGCTCGTGGAAGTGGGAAGGTGGTCCCGGGACACTTGGCACTGTCAGGGGAAGGTATACAGTGGGCTGGGCAGTGAGTGGGTGGAAGGGATGTATCTCATGGGGACGAGAGCGGGCGGAGATTGGGGGGAGAGTGGAGCTGCCCCGCGCGCATTGGCCAATGGGCCGCACGTTACGCCTCCGTCCAACCGAAACCCCCCGCGGCGCTCGTGCCCGTATCTCTCCCCTATCTCGCACGCCGCGCTGTTGACAATCCGTCCAATCGATCGCCCCCTTGTCGGATGCCTCCCAACCGCCGTGGAGCCGTACAGTGGAGACAGTCCCCGCAAAGCCCTGGGCCACGCGGCCCACGCTGTCCCCATCCAACGAGACTCGCTTCGTCGCTCTACTTACAGTACTCTTGCCACTTTTTATTCGTAAATCCAATCAATTCCCCCCGATCTCCCCGTCGCACAACACGTGTGCCTGTTGTACATGCGTCACACGTTGCATTTGCTGCGACAAGGGCAATCTTACACTATTGCACTACAGTGCTACTGTATTCATTTGCGGCGACAGGGGTGTCAGACCGCACATGACAGCCTGCCTGTCCCCAGAAAGATATGTGGGATATTTTTAGGGAAAATTGCATTTTTACTGTAGAGGGAGATTTTATACTGTAGTCCGAGATTTTATTTGAATTTTAGAGAAGCGCACGCATACGGCCCGGCGGAATCCGGGCCGGACGCGTGGACGCTTCTGGAAGGAATTTCGTAGAAATAAAAGAGAGAGGGTGACGGGCGCTGCGGGGAAAAAGGGGTGGAGAAGACACTCGGCCGACCCTCACCACGGAACGGCACGCTCCTCAAAACCGCCCCCCCCCATTTCACCGCAACAAGATAGATACAGTATATACATATATATATAACCCAGAGGAAGATCGAAAGGACGCCCAAAAGCAACAAATATGTGCAGAGTTCCAACGGCGCAAAAAGAGCAAGGAGCAGACGTTACAAAGCGCCCTTGCGAGGTGGGCCTCAGTACAGTTTTCCCTTTCTAAACCTCCTGCTCAAGCTGTCATGTCCCGCATCATCAACGGAAAGTATGGTTTTCGTCCCGATATCTCTACAAAAAAGTTCAAGCGCTCCGCGTCAGTTACCAGCCCATATCTCGAACGCGCAGTCGCAACTTGGGTCTCTGCCCAATTTGCAAATAGGGTAAACATCACAGGTCATCTTATAACTACGCAAGCAGAGCGCATTCAATATATTTAGATACATTTTTTAAGTAAAGCACAGACATTCTGAGAGATGCACCGTGACACCGTTATGATACGGTCTCCGGATGTGAATATCCTCCGCAAATGGATACGGATTACGTCCACCGAGCGTATCCATATCGAGAGGGTTCACTGTACGAGTACAGGATATGAATGCGATGTAAGCCGGGTGCGGAGATACTGTAGGGGAGTGTTGAGAGAAATTACTGTACGCGGAGGTGCGGAATGAAGTGGAAGAAGGGGAGCAGAGGGCTGATGAAAGTGAGTCCGGGTTGCCAATAAAAATTGCTTGTCCGACTGCATTTGTACTGTAAGCTCACTTGCCGTGAAAAAGAACAAAGACATAGAGAGTTGAGATGCAGAGTTTGGCATTTCATCGAAAGCTCACGCTTCCGTGCTTCACGTCATGTTTCTGGAAATGGGTGCGTTGCAGGAAAATGTGGTAGGGAGCAGAGGAATGAAACGGAAAGCCAAATTATTCCAGACGGAGTTCGGTGTACTCAAAGTTGATACGAGGAGATTAAATTCACAACTTGAGCAATCTCCCGAGCACCGCGTATTCGGTCCAATTCCTCTCCAATCTTTCACACTGTAGAACACGCATCCACAAAATATACACCAGGCATCTAACGTGCACAATGCCATGATGTATGCCAACTGTGAATACGAATACAGGCTTTCCTGTAAGAAGGCTTTGAGATGAGTGATAAGATCACTGATATCGACAAATACGTGAAGATGAGGAGAATAAATAAGAAAGATTACTAACTACATTTATACTAGAAGGATGATGTGAAGGGTAGTATACTTCAAAGATGGAGTCGGAACAAACTCAAGAACATCCACTCAAGGAGAATAAGGCATGCCAGTGTATCCATAACTTGAAACAAATGATTAGAGGACCTGATACAGTGCGAATTTTGCTTGTGAGAACTTCACTGATTCGTGTTCTTTTATACCTCTGAATGGTCAACTAAAAATAAAAATATCATTTCTTCCTTTTTCACGAGACCAATAATGAAACCGCTCTTCCTCCTTCCTCATGGTGTGAGGTTGTTCCAACGAATAAGAGTACAGGGATGATGTACGTCGTACTTCAAAGATACCCGAAGGAACACCTTGCCCAATATTGGGGCGATGGTAGAGCGGGGTAAGAACTCCCAATATAGCTACGGTAGTTGTGGTGTTGTGCAGATATGAACCCAAGTCTTTCACAAGTCGACGCATTCATGCGTACTATCGCACAAAAGACTATGTCTACTTACGTGACTCCAGCACAATCAACATGTGCAAACTCTCCTCAATTCCAAGCTTCCAAGAATGCTTTCCAAATCTTTAGATAAAGCACCTGCATGGAGCGGTAACATACTCTAGTCTTGGCACTACATCTTAAAACCTACTCAGTTCATGTGCAAGCTCCTCAGTTCTTCATTACCCTCAGATCTGCTCTACGTCCAGCACCGTTACTTTGTGCCGTTCCTCTTACGGGCATCGCAACGTCGCATCTATCTAGAGCATGTGTGATTTACGATCTCAGCAGGCTTCTCTATAGGTCACCTGCTTCGTCAGGTTTTTGTGACATAACTGCAGGTACTGTGCGAGTCTTCTCTTTCTCTTTCTGTTTTTCACTTCTTACCTGATCCATGTAGTTCCATGTCTGCACGTTACAGGGAATGTTGTAGGACGAAAAATCTGGATAAACCGCACAACAAAATACAGGTAGTAAAGGTGGTTATTTTAGGAAGAGAAACAGGGGTGTGAGGGTTGGCAGTTTGCGGGAATGGGATAGAATGCGGAGAGGTTGACGATGTATTGTGAATTGCGTGAAGAGTTAGTGGGTAATATCGAAGAGGACGAGAAAGGCGCAAAGCAATTGAATCGAAGAGCAATTGTTCATTAGCGGCTTATCCTAAGACCCTAGCGAATGTAAGGACAGTGAATGTTGCTGAGCTTTTCTTTCTCACCATTCCCCCTGGTATCTTTTTCTTACTACACCTAGTGTTTACGATCCCGTTGTCCCTTAGTTATATTTAGAGTTAACAGGCAACAACGCACTTTGCACGATAGTTGCATGGTGTATGTGTGGTGGTTGTGTCATCTTGTATAGAAAATGGTGCAGAGGAATTGCAACGAATGCACGGTGCTCCCGAGTCTTCCCACCATGGGAATCGAACTCAAATGGGGAGTTTTATCAATTAGAGTACTACGAATCCCTCCGGAATCCTTCAGATTTCTCTTTCAATCTCTCATTCCCCACGTCATTCTTCTCTAAGTCGTCCACTTTCGGACAGAAAGGGACCCTCCCCTGCCACCCTCTCCATCTCTTCCAACAAGGTGCCGCCTTCGACTTTCTCCATCTTCTCCCAAACCTCCTTTAGCAGCTCATCCCCATGCACCTTCTTCCCTACTTTCTGCAGCATCCTCCTATATAACTCCGCATCCTGCCCCTGCGCCTTTTTCAGCATCTTCACCATTAAAAACACCTCTCTCGACCTAGGCATATCCACCACCTCAATATACGTATCCAGGTGCTTCGCCACTTGCTCTGGCCACTCTTGTTTCTTTGAAACGAGCTTCTTCACTCCTTTTAGCACTTTCTTATCCGCGCATGAGCTCATCGAGAATATCCCTGCTTCCATCAACTCCCAAGCAGCTCTCACATCTTCATCGTGTTCAAATCCCCCGCCAACCGTGCCGCAAGTTGGGCAGTCACATCCTATTTTCTCAAGCGTCTCCATGTAGGTCTTATACTGCCTCCCCGTCCCAAGTGGTCGCACACTCCGCAAAGGTACGTGAAACGCTCGCCGCATTCCATTGATCATGATATGGATTCGCTCACTCATTTCCTTGTCTTTCTTGCCCCCATGCACGTGTCCCTCCCGTCCGTTTAGTTCTGTCCTCTTCTTCAGCCCGCTAATTCTTACTTTGGTTCCCTCCGGCAAGTCTCTTACAAACCCATCTATCAACTTGGCCACTTCCTCCTCGAAATCCGCCGCTCCCGGCACTTCCATAGACCAATATTTGTTGAGGAAGGTTTCTAGCGCAGACACCATCACTGGTGGGGATTCTGGAACATGATAGCATCGCATGTGGCGCACGTGCCACGGTTCAGGTTCGATGCGCGATCCGTGTTGCCCAACGCTTTCTTCCGGTTCATTTTGCAAAAAGAATTGCTGCTGGCTAGTCGGAAAGCATGCTTGCATAGGAACTAAGTAGTACCGAGGAGTGCAAAAGAGATCCAGTGATATGTGACAATTCTCCTCCCTTCGGATAGCTCTGTCGTCGAAGGCGCCGCCACAGATATCCGCATGTACTAATTGCTGGTCTTTCCTTTCGGGGCTCACTGGGCCAGCGATCCACCAGTGAGGGCCGCTGCACCTGTAGTTTTGCGGGCGAAGGACTTTTACGACGTCCCCCGTGTCGCTCTTCGCGGATTGTACGAAGCCGAAATTGGCAAGGACAGCGGGTTCCATTCCTGCCATGAGGTCGATATTTTCGTGCGTGCAAATGCAGCGAATTTGCCTGTCCGAGCCGCAAGCCTGCAAACGTAGGATGCGCCTTTCGAGTAAGTCACATACATCAAATTCTTTGCAATTCATTACCCAAATATCGGCAAGAGTCTTGCTTTCGTGGCAGAGGGTGAAGCCATTGTCGCAGAGGGATTTTAGGGCGTATGCGAAGAGGACTACAGCATTGCCACTGTTGTGTGAGGTGCGATACTGCAAGTAGATGCAACCCTTTTCGTCATTTGAAAGGCCAATCGGGTCGATGCAGCCTTCCCAAAATGACTCTTCATTGACCGATTGCACCGTTGACGTCATTTCCAGAGTACGTCTGTCTATCACTCTTGTCACCTTGCAATACAGTGGCACCCATCGAGTAATTAGAGCGGATATCTTTGCAGATGCAAATTCGAATTCGAGCTTGGACATTACGGAGTTTTGTTTCTTGTTCAGATGTGTTTCTTAGGAGAGCTGGTAGTGAAGGGATTGTTTCGAACAGAATCTTTTGGGATTGAAGTCAATCGTAAGTCTCTTAGTAGAATATAGGAAGTAATGGCCAAACTACTAAGAGAATGTGACTTTGTTAAGAGGTTGGCCAGGTTATGATAGAGAGGGAATTTTGAGCAAGTTGCGTCTGACAGGATTCAAAGTAATGCTTGAACCGCATCAAGAGACCGAAGGAGATGGATCAGATTGTACAGCTTGTAGGGCTGAGTGGTTACAAATATATAGTTTCTGAGTTGGATCGCATTGTGCGAAGAAAACATTGGGGAAAAGGAACATGGGGCTTGGTTCCATAGCCTTGATTCTGAGCAACTGCTATCTGAATCAATGAGAGGAAGCACCAGGATGGGCGCTCAAAACCACGTAACAAGCTCCAGCATAGCGCCAATTTTATTTATGAACGACGTATTCGGCTCCGATAGCGCCGTCCCGGCTTTAATTTGAACGGCACTGGCTTATGATGTTTGTACAAGCCCGTTTTCTAGTACTACGGTTAATGACTAATGCCACAGTATGTACGTACTAGAGTATTTTCGGACACAAGGGCATGGTATCCGCCGTTGCCAGGTCCAAACATAAAGTTACGATTTACAATTGAACTGGTTCCCGGCTGACCTTCGGCGGCGGCGGCTGCTACTACAAAAAAAAAAAAAAACTCACTGTTTCTTCCAAGATGAGGATGAAAACGATTGGATAAGAGATCAGATGTTGTGCTCGAAGATGAGGCTACAGTCGCGTCTTCAAGCCCTACGGCTTGAAGACGAGACCATTAACTCATCGTCTAGCGTTTGAACAACCGAATTCAGTTCCTTCTGAGGGCATTCAAAAAGTTATTGCAACCATTCAGATCTTGCTGCCAGGCGCCTACAACATGTGCACGTGGTAGACGTGCTGTTTCAGGAGAATTGCTTGAACCAGGTCTCCAACAGTTATTTATGGCATAGTAACGGATGGGGTCGCTTCTTCTGGCTTTATACAGTTAGTGGCGCTTGAGAGTGCGGAGTTCATGAACTGCATGCAAGGATTAGGGTTGTTAAGTTTTAACCATGCAAGTATCGTAGACGCCCTAAAAAAACTTTATTGTAGCCCAACAGCCTAGTCGTGGGCCGAATATCATACTATATCTCATAGAAACTGTGCCGTGGCAGCAAACTATTATTCAGCCGCCGCCAGAAACTTATTCGGCACTGTGTGGAGTCCATTTCCGTCTTCGATGTTTTCGTCATAGGCGTATAGGGCGATCTTTTAAAGTTGCCTCATCTGAGGCCACCTGCTACACAGATAAAAGGGAAATCTTCTGTAGGCTCTAGACTGCCATCTACACATAAACTGTCTAGGAGAATGAAACTGTGAGATGTTTTCTGCACTTCACTGAAAACATCATTGCAATGGTTGGATAGATGGCTTGAAGCCAACCTTCCCATTCTTTAGTTCGCTGATAGTTGACCCGGGAGCCGGAGCTTGTTGCGGAACCGAGGGTGAAGAAAGGGTTTGCACAGGCGTGTCCTGGGCGTTAGGAAGTCCCGTTGGCTGCTGAGCTGGCGATGTAGGACCAGGATTTGCAAACATCAACAATTCTTCGTCGAAGTCTGCCACATTAATCCCTTCCCCAGGCACAATTTCAGCGCCGAAGACGTCGTCTAGGACTTGATTTTGTTTTTGAACCATCCCTTGCCAAGTCCATCCAGCGGCTGGAAGAACAGGGCTGTAGACGACTTCGTTACTTCCTGGAATGGGTGGTCTTTGAAGTCCATCTTGGGGTGCATTGGTTTGAGGTTCAATCGGAAACACTTCAGTTTCAGCGCCGTCCGCTTCTTCGTCGTCTTCATCTTCATCCTCTTCTTCCGAAGGAGGAGGTGCTTGGAAGGCAGGGCTGTTGAATCCAAACATTTCACCAAGCCGAGATGGACTCGACTGCCGAATGGAATTTCTGACGGACGGAACGTTACTACTGTCAGAAGCCGGTGTTCGAGACCATGTTCTAATGTACTTGATTTTGTAGGTTGCAGGAAGCGTTTGCTCTGAGGGAAGGCCAAACCAGTTGGGCATTGTTTCGACATCAAACTTCATTGGAATGGCCTGCCTCCAATACTTATTTCTCTCTCTTCGAATAGCACGGCCGTTAAAAGTCCAGGTGATCCATTTCTTGCTCCAATCAAGGCCGTAGACGTTGAATCTACTGCGTAAGAAAGAGGAATGCGTGTAGTATCCCGGCTTACTGATTTGGTTCTTTCCAGGTTCTATTCCCTTGTTAAGGTTACGAAAGACGTGCAAGTTCATGTTTATACGCTTTCGGAAATCAGTGCCCTTGTGCACTGCGCCTCCGCCAAGCTCGAAGACATCAATTTCTGTCCACTTGGTGGGGGTATCTAAGGAGCCCCAGAATGAAGAGGAGAGGCGAGAGTTGGAGGGTTTGGCTTTGACCTCGAAGTAGCCATACCTTGCGCTCTTTTTAGACATGACATAGGAAGTAGTGTAAGTCTCGTAGCCATCCGGTGCACCATCAAATGCCGTGCTGTTCTCATCCTCGTATCGCCCCTTCAACAACAATTTGCCTCTCTTTTGCTTGACATTCTTGGTAGCAAATAGGCCAGGCTGACGGCCCTTCCATCGAGGGTTTATGTTGTACCACTTGTCGTGGTTGAAGGTGCCCCTGAACTCATCGGTGAAGTCCGCAATCGGCGTGAACTGATCGCCCTCGAACAAGCCGTCCCTCAGAACGGGATTTCTTTTCGCGAGTACGTCTACTCCAAGGACGCAGATAGTAGTTAGAAACAAGACTGTGTTCATGACAGGCTGTGTACAGATTTTGGGTGCGTCGGTTTGTGGGTCTACAAGGATAGAAAGATAAGTTTCAAAAGGAGTATACTGCGGCTTGAACACATGTGAAAGAGCAGTAGTAAAGAATGAGGTTTATCGTTTCTTAGCAGGGAATGTTTCATGACGCAGTGGGTATGGGCCAGGAGAATGCATGGCTCCTGCCGCTGAACAAGAGGGCCAAGTAGGGGAAAGTTGAATTTGCGGGAGATGATTAAAAGCGTGGCCCGTGTCTTGAAGAAGTATGACGGCAGCAGTCGCTGTGACATGGTGCGAGGAGACATCATTTGTCTGGCCCGTAGCTAAGATTACATGTTGCGTGCAGTAGTACATTTTCGCTTGAGTAGGGTGGGACAGGCGTGGCTCTGCACCTGGGGCCATGAACGTAAACCGCAAGCATGGAGAAGGTAGTTGGTGGATGACGATGATAGAGGAGATTCGTCGTAGTAAGCGGGATAGAGACTCGATTTCTTGTTTAGCATATGGAGAATATTTGTTACGTACCACTCTTATTTTGGAATTTTTGTTACGTACCACTTTTTATGAGCCCCTTTTCTTAGGAGCGCTAGAGTTATGAAGAGGTGAAGAGGGGGTCGTCGGAATGAGTTTGATCAAAGGGAGCACGTTCCCTGACAAGCACAGCATCTTGATGGCATCCTTAGCCCTGTGCGCCACCGTGGGGCCGATGTCACAAGGTAAAAAACTCAGACTCTGGGCGCCTGCGTATGCAGTGCCCCTCCCAAGAGTGCTCATACACTGTCAACGCCCAACCAGACCGCAGGGCAAACAACAGCTTGTGGAAAGTGGGAAAACTCAATCTCACTCACTCCTGCGACGCTATAAAGGGGAAACGTAAGCGCAAGCCCCTAGCCCAATACGCTCTGACAGTGTTTGATAATCTACGCGAGCGGCATGCGAACGTCCCGGAGGCTGCACACTGGAATCATCTGGACACAAAGTGGGCATCGACTGTTTTTCATCATGCAACACTCCACAGCCAGTATGTTGCTGCTGCTGCCCTTGCCTCTCAAGTAAACGTTAACGTGGGTTTGCAGATGCTGCCTATTGCCAGACAGATGAGCGCGTGGAGAGTTCCGGGTCAGGCAGGTCGGCCGAGAAACGGCGGAAACAGGGGGTCGCAGCGCCTCAACGAAAGTTGCGTTGCTCTTCTTGTGGTCAAGTTGGGCACTACGCTACGATTAGCGAAGCCCCAGACACTGTGTACCTACCTCTCTACCGGAAAGTCGTTCGGGAGTGAGGTGAAGAAAGTGGTACGTAACAAACATTCCAAACTAAAAGTGGTACGTAACAAAAATTCCCTTAGCATAAACAGCTGTACCCAGTGCTACTGTACACTACATGGGTTCTGTGCGACCCATGTAGTGTACAGTAGCACTGCTCGAGTCGATAAAGATGTAAATCGTGTCCACGTGACCACGTGTACTATTCAGTGTACTGTACCCTTGGGTACAGCACCCTTGGGTACAGAAGTGTGTAATAGTCCACGCCGTCTCTGTGACAGTAGTGTGGGTGTAGTACCCGTGGAGGTACAGCGGTGTAGCGGGATGCGGGATGAGTTGAAGTGGAGCCGGTGGACGCTTTAATAGCCCTTTTTAATTAACGAAAATCGCAATCGCATTGGGTATGACGGGAGTTTTGCTGTGTTAGCGTCGGTGGGCCTAACGTACGGTAACCCCGCGTACGGTACACGTGTGGTGTCACGTCAGCTCCTCCCTCATCGGCCTGGAGACCACTCGGCTTGATTGTTGGTGTAAAGGGTCAGTCAAGGTGAATCTGCAAAAATTCGCTTCAATCAACAATGTCCAACGCCTCTCTCAATCATTGGCCGCCCACACCCGCCAACCCCTTCTGTAAGCCCACAATGTTGATTGATCCGTGTACCCCATTCATTGGCCGATGCCTGGATCACGGAAACCGCACCAAAATGGATCCTTAGTGCAACGTGATCCCCCTCCCAACTGCTTGTTTGAATCATCACCGCATTTAATCATCAGCATCATCATCATCCCCTATCCTCGCCCCTCGCCCTTCCCCCCCCCCCCCCCCCCCCCCCCCCCCCCCATCACCGAACCTTTCCACTCCCGTCAGTAACTCTGACCTCGATCCAGTCAAACGGCCCGCCCCGACCCTGCAAAATGGCATCGCGCAGCCTTCTGATCTTCGCGCTGCTGCTCTTCGTCTGTCTCCTGTCCGTCCAGACGCCCACCTCCACCGCCCTCGTCGCCGCCGCGGACGACTCCTAAGGGCTCGATCCCGACGTTGGCCTCGACGACGACGACATGCCCCCCGACGACGAGGATGAGGATGAGGATGAGGACGAAGGCGACGGCGACGGCGACGAGGAAGACCCCGAGGGAGAGCCGGCTGATCCGGATGCCCCGGCCGTCCTCGACCCCGAGGGCGAGGAGAACGCCTCGTACGCCTCCCCGTACACCTCCGGCGCCCTCTTCTTCGACGACTTCCAGTCCGGCCTGTCCAAGTGGATCCACACTTCCCACCCGGAGTACATCACCGAATTCAAGGTCGGTCAGGGCGCCAAGCCCACCTTCAAGGGCGATCGTGCGCTCATCATCCCGGTCAGGGCGAGGAAGTACGCCCTGTCGTCAAAAATTGCCGGCCTCGATCGCCTCGACCAGACTGACCTCGTCTTGCAGTACGAGGTCAAGCTTGACGAGGGCATGACTTGCGGAGGTGCGTACATGAAGCTCCCCACCGCGGCCGATTTCGATCCCGCCAAGTTTGACGGCTCCACCCCGTATAGCATCATGTTCGGCCCGGACAGGTGCGGTCCGACCGACAAGGTTCACTTCATCTTCCAGTCGAAGAACCCCGTCACTGGCAAGAACTCCGAGCATCATCTCATCGAGCCCCCGACAGTCGCCAACGTCTATGACAAGAAGACCCACTTGTACACCATCATTGTCAAGAAGGACGGCAACTTCCAGATGTTCATTGACGACGAACTCAAGAAGGACGGTACCCTTAGCACAAGCTTCGCTCCTCCTGTGCAGCCGCCGAAGGAAATTGACGATCCCGAAGACAAAAAGCCGGCTGACTGGGTTGACGACGCTAAGATCCCAGATCCCGAGGCCACTAAACCCGAAGATTGGGATGAGGAAGCACCGAAGGAAATTGTCGACGAGGACGCCGAAAAGCCTCAAGGTTGGTTGGATGACGAGCCGGCCACTATTCCCGACCCCGAGGCCAAGCAGCCTGAAGAATGGGACACCGAAGAGGATGGTGAGTGGGAGGTACCCACTATTCCGAACGCCAAGTGCGATGAGGTTGGGTGCGGTGAGTGGAAGCCCCCGATGAAGGCCAACCCCGCATACAAGGGCAAATGGAGTGCCCCTAAAATCGACAATCCCAAATACATTGGCGTATGGAAGCCGCGTAAGATCCCGAACCCCGAATACTACGAGATTGAGAATCCTACTCTTCTTCCAGTTCATGGGCTCGGGTTTGAGATCTGGACCATGGATCAGGGCGTCCTCTTCGACAACGTATGGCTGGGCAGCGACATCTCCGCCGCTGAGAAATTCAGGAAGGCCACGTTCGTAGAGAAGCAGAAGACCGAATTAGAACGCGAGGAGGAGGCCAACAAGAAGGCTGAAGCTGAAGAAAAGGTATCTCGCGGGGGCAGGGATGGAAAAGTTGGAGCTATCTTGGACAAGATGGAGGATGCCGTTGACATGCTGGAGGACAAGCTTCGACCAGTTGAAGAATTCATCATCAGCAAGGGTGGAGAGTCATACCTGAACAAGCTCATCAATATGGGCGTTCAGAAGCCGATGATCATGGTTGTCGGATTTCCGATTGCACTCGTACTGGTCTTCCTCATCCTTCTCAGTGGAAGCAAGAAGAAGGCACCAACCCCGGAAGAAGCTGCTGCCGCTGCTGCTGCCGAGAAGAAGAAGACCGATGCAGCATCGCCGGATGATGCTGCCGGAAACGCTGATACCTCATCGACTACAACTGCCGAGCCGGAGAACAAGACGATTCGCAAGCGTCGCACGGCCACTGCAGATTAAGAAAACTGGACATATGACATGGGGTGGGTAGGGTTGTCGTATTAACTGGTGGTAATGGTGTGTAGCAGTAAATGCATAATAACTTGATCATTGTCATCGCCTCTGTGCTTGCCGGTTAAATCCGTCGTACTCCGCTTTGCGATACTGAAGTACTCCATATCTCGGCCCGTGCGCTTTGGCAGATTGCAGCTAAGTGATCGAGTAGGCGGCGCTTGCATACGCTCCTCTGAAGCACTTTCCTACACACAGGTGACCGCATTATACAATAGGCCTAATCGTGTGTACTCAAATCTCTCATCACGCGTGACGTGTCCTCGGATTATCGTGGGCTGAAGGGCCGATGCGCCTCTGAACGGAGAAGATGTCCCCCAGGATGACGTTCGCGATGACGAGGTTAAAGCAAACTTGCCATGCCATGATGGTAACAACAAATAGTCTACGTGTGTGACAGCCATGCTGTATCTTCTTTGTCAGGGGCTATCGCTTCAAATACTGACGAGCACCCGCCTATGCGCCAATTCAGTAAACGGCCTGGATGCGATCGTGTTCTCAGGGCTTCCGTTGTTGAAACGGCCGATGTCCACACTCACTGCGGCGACGATTTTTTTGTACGGCCTCGAAATAATACAGACCCGTTGACCCCGATTTCTTTGGGCCAGCTTCTCGATTGCGGTCTAGTGGCGCCATTCCTCTTGACCGCGAAGGATGCGCGTCGCCTTCATCCACCCCGATCTGGGACTTGGTGGTGCCGAGCGCCTAGTTGTTGATGCTGCGCTCTCCCTGCAAGAACTGGGCCATTCGACAATTATTTGCACTCCGTTTCAAGACGCGAATCGCACATTCCGAGAAGTAGCTCCACCTGCGCCGCAGGTGCCAGTTCGCGTAGTACCGCTTCCTATTCCTCGCTCGCTCTTTGGTAGATTACAGGTGAGCTGATCAAACAGTGCCTCTTCGACTGCGACATCCCGGGAAAACAGCTATCTGACGGACCTGTTTCCAGGCAATTCTAGCGGCTCTTCGTTGCGCTCTCTTGGCTGTGTACGTCTGCCTGTTTGTAAGCTTTGATGTCGCTTTCGTTGACATCGTCTCCCTCCCGTTGATTGTTTTTGCAGTGTTTCGCAAACCCGTCCTTTTCTATTGCCATTATCCAGACAAGCTACTCGCTACATCATTAGCTCCGCATTCTAGTCCGTCACGACTCAAAACTTATTATCGTCGTTTTGTCGACAGCCTTGAAGCGTTTTCACTGCGCTTTGCGTCTGTCATTGTATGCAATTCTCGCTTTACAGCTTGCGCCTTCGAGAGAACATTTTCAGGCTTGCCCAAACCATCCGTGATTTATCCATGTGTGTCAATCGCAAGCAAAGAACGGGGGAGGGCAACCGAAGAAGGAATAACATCGAACGCATCAAAGTTCTCGATTCTTTCTTTGAATCGTTATGAGAGAAAGAAGGACATTGGCTTGGCTATAGACGCATTGGCTGCAATGAAACATCACGAGGTGCGCGGTAAGAAGTTGCACTTGGTCATCGCAGGGGGATACGACGAGAGAATTCGTGAAAATATTGAATACTTCAACGAACTGGAAGAGCTTACCAAGACAAGCGGGCTAACGGATTCTGTCACGCTTCTGCGCAATATATCTGACAGCGAGCGGCGGAAGTTACTACAAGAATCACTCGCCGTCTTATACACTCCATCAAATGAACACTTTGGCATTGTACCGCTAGAGGCCATGGCCGAAGGGATTCCAGTCATTGCCGCGAATAGCGGGGGGCCTACTGAATCAATCGAGGACAGAGTAACTGGCTTTCTCTGTGATTCGACCGGGAAGAGCTTTGCAGATGCAATCACTCTCGTGATGAATGACACTGCACTGGCGGCGAAGATGGGTACTGCCGGGCGTGAGAGAGTTTTAAATTTGTTTGCACGTTCAGTTATGGGTAGAGAGCTGCAGAACATCTTAATGAGAATATGGCCATCTGGCCGGTGATAAAATGCCGTTGAGGTCTCCGAAGAGCGGTATGGGACTTGACGTGTACTAGTTTAGTCTGAGATCGGCGGAACAAGGTCTATCTCCTGACCGAACATGCAATTTCAATCCTGCATACGTGTTCAAATAACCAGCTGCTCTACGATAAATGCTTGGCCTACCTTGACACGGTTTCTCAGGCCGCAAGGTCCTGAACGAAAACCTGTACCGAATATTGACGACTTGTCTAGATCCACGGAATATCGGGCTTGTTACTTGACTCAAGCAGCATGTATTTTCAGGATTTTGGATGAGTTCGTTGCACCGGGCCTGCGTCTACAACAGATTCTCTCGGGCGACGATCAACTCCTCTATTCAGTGAGAAGGGCTTGGATACCAGGCGGGAAGGTGGAAGCCCTCGCCGGGTCGCATATGGCGCATCGTATCGATTTGTTTCAGGTCTGCGTAAATGACTGTTCATGTTTCTTGGACTCTGAAAGCTTTCCCCTTCCGGGACTGAGCTGCGGTGCGGTTGTGATTTGAAAACGTGCTGCGGCGGTTCGGCTGGAAACCGGTAAACCTCTCCTTTGTCGGGTCGGGGACGTTGTGGCTTGAATGAGTAACGTTCAATCGTGCTTGATCGTGATGAAACTGTGTGCGCTGAACCCGGAGGAGGCGATTTGAAAGGCAGTAGAACAGTGTTGTTTGGAACATACTGTTTAGAACGATTATGGTCATGGCCATGCTTATTCTGCTTCGTAGTAGTTTCAAGCGCGCCGGGGGTTCTAACAGCAACTTGGTAAGGGACATGAGAGGTTTCCATATGCTGACCTGCTGGGGTCCCAGGAGATGGGGGTGTGGTTGTTTGGTGCAAAGAGAGTTTTCGGTAGATTCGCCCTCGCTTTTGTTCATGCTTATGACTGCCTCTGGCCGTGCCGGACTGCGGGTTCATCTCAAGGTTATTGTCCTGCAGTTGTCCCCATACCCCAGAATCTGAAGCACGGTCCGACCTGTGTGGAGTAGAGGTCGCACTGTCACTTGGGGACTTCACAGCTGCTTCGAAGCGAGCATCTTCCTGGCTGTCCACAGTGTCTTGCGGCCCTGAGAAGGCTTCCGAGTTGTGATGCCATGGTTCTAGCGCTCGTTGCTCGAAAGGACTTTCACGTCTAACTCGCTTTTCGAGTGGTGTTGGTAAGTGTTCACTTGGAGGTGCTGATTGTTTGGCTATCATTGAATCGGCCTCAGGTGATAATTGGGTTACAGCGTCGCTATCATTCCGCTGGTACATGTTTTGAAGATCACGTAAGGTTGCCAGGTGTACAGAAGGAGAACTGATTTGCGTCTTGTCACTTGATGGACTGCGCGTTTTTGACTGGAGGCTCTTCGCGTCAAAGGAGGACGGCATATGCCGAGAATGTTCAATTGGATCTATTGTCGCTTTTGAAAGATGATTTGTGTCCCACACATGTTCCCTGCGAAGAAAAGTGTTGGACTTCAGTCTCGACCAAAGAGCATACAACCTCTTCAGTTCGTAAATTGTCAATAGTCGAGTGTTCTCGAGTGTTGCTGCCTTGACGTTCAAGTCGTCCACGAATTCTTTTCTGTGCGTCCCACAATATCTGTGAATTGCGAGAATCGAAGATTCCAATAGCTCTATATCAAATGGGCCAGAGATTGTTCCCAGTGATATTGTTTTACTCATTGACGAATTTCTCTGTTGAGCTGTTTGTTTTACGTTTTCAGTTAACTTCACAGAAAACATATATCTGCTTGACTTTGATGGAAGTGTAACTGTGAGATCCCGGACATCAGATAATGCTTTGCGTTGAAAGCAGCTTGTGCGTGTATTTGACGTTGCGGTGCAATCAGCTTTGTGAGAGAGGCTCGCCGGAAGGGTGCTTGATTTCATCATAGAGAATCGAACAATCAGATGCTCTCCGGAACGGCAAATTAGCTCTGGATAGCTCCTGTGATCCCAAACTTGTCCGACATGTTCTTCAAGAAGAGGGGCGACTTCCGCATTCAATCGACTTTCAAAAGTCTCAGGGATAAGAAGTCGATTATCACCCCCCACTACCACATGCTTCCTCCACATCAGCTGGACTTCAGATACTGGGGGATTATCGTATAGCATCTTTTCATATCTAGGAGTGCTTGATTGAATGGCTTGTGATTGCTCATTGGCTCGGAAGAGCTTGACCACGATTACTGGAAAGAGGACACCAAATGACACTACGCAGAGTGCGAAAGTGATTCTTCTGCGAGAAAAGATCGAAGAAACTTTTTGTGAAGCTATGGCGAGATTCAAGCTAGCCTTGTCTTCGTCTCCAGCTGCTGCTGAAATGATGTTCTGCGTTCCCTCTGTGTGATAGCCTTCCGCCATGACTATAATTTCTCCCGATTTAATATTCCGAGCTTCGTAGGGTATTTGACTTGCCATTCCGTAAGAACTGGCCCATCGAAAAGCCGATGTTGTCTCTGAATCTAGTTCGAGCCTTTCATGAGGTGTTGAAAAAACACTGGATAGGGTGTCAGGCGTATCGTTCGGTGCGACTGGCACCGGTTGATTGGGTGGAATCGGTGTGTTTGAGGTAGAAGAATAAGCTTGATGCTGATTTGAATTTACTGCTTGCTGAGATTCGTCTATTTGCTGCTCCATGCCGGCTATTCGAAGTTTGTGCTTCATGATGAACGGACAAGGCCCTTCTTCTCTGAGACGTGAAGTGATCCATGGAGAGGAGAAACGTGATCCGATCGCATGGCATGCTATCACTTCTTTCGAAACGGAGCGTACAACAAAAGCGAGAATATTGAAAATGGCAGCGGCGGCAGATCGGAATTATCAGATTAGTAGATGTTGTAAGCCCTGTTGTCGCAGCAGGATTCGAATTAAAAGGCGAAAACTATTTGATTCGGCAGGCGGTCCATGTTGGCATCCACGGGTGCGCAGACGTCTGAAACGCTTTCCTATTAATTGTATATATGCTCACTCTTCATGAACAGCCTGCAAGATCGATATCGACGCCACAGAGATTTACTGATCCCTCTTTACAATGCCTTGACAGTTAATGCTGTATGAACAGACTAAAATTGTATTTATTTATGTATTGGGGTATATTGCAAAAGGATTCTTTAAAAAGGCGCGGCTAATAGCAGTGTTGAGGGCTTCTTTTCGAAGGACGATGTAGAAATGTTACATAAGAGAAGACCCTCATCCTAGCATGCAACAAGATTTAAATCTGAACGCAATCATTATTCGTGGGGTTTTCTTCCACAACTGCATGTATGATGTGACGTAGATATGACGGGTTTTTTCGTGTTGTGTAGGCGAGTAGCGTTTATGCGCATGAAACACTGTTGACTGTATAGCGAGGTTGGCCAGTGTCGTGGCAAGTCTCGACGCGTATGACACGTGGTGAGAGAGTGGAATTCTTGAGAACTCCCGCAAACACTCTCCCAGCCACTCTCCTAGGTACGCAGCATTTGCATTTGTCTCACGCGCGCTCCAGTAATTGTGGCGGTATATAAAGGGAGGCATGCATGCACAAAACGTACCTGGCATGCCTCTCTCTTTTACAAGAGAGACCCCAGAACGTTGGCGGAAGGCACTTTCTAAACGATCAAAAGAAGACTCGATCGCGCGTTCTTTAGAACGCTAAAGCGCACAAAGATGAGCGACTTTGCGGATAGTGTGGAGCAAGTGGATACTTTAATACGCAAAGCCAAGCTTGTTTCAAAAGGAAAGACTATGGAAGAAGCTGGTAACGAGTTGGGTTGGATGACTACCTATAGTCAGATTGCCAGACGTTGTAGGGACGACAACGACTTCGGGCTCACATGCTACCCGTATTAACAGGGCTCAAGCGTTGGGGCATTTATCAGGGGCTTTTTCGAGCACAGGGAATGACCTCTGAGGACAGCAATGGAGAAGCACCAGAGTCTACGCCCAGTATGGGAGTATGAGGTCAATTACGATAATGCTGCGGGATATTGGATGGCTTTCCACGAGGCAGCTATGGCCTTGAGGAACGATGCAATCAAAGCTAGTAGCGGGGAAAAAGCGTCCTAGTTCGATGTCTGGGGCCTATTGTCCATCAGATACGGCCTTCGTGTTGTGGGACTCCGGGCTGGGTTCTACAAAATGTCCGCCAGGGATCCTACATATGCCAAAATGGTTATGCCTAGTCTTGAGCAGCGGAATGATGTTGCTGCTGCTGATGATTTGGCTGAAGCCATGGAAAAGCTCGACACACACATGACCACACAACTTATGAAGGCGGTGGCCACTCTCAATGCAAGCAACGCGACAAGGCGTTCGGGCAAGGGAGGGTCCGCCAAGGAAAAGTAGTTAAAACGGACACACGACCCGCTCTTTGGCGAGCTACTCAGCAGCAAGTCGAAGAATGGCGTCGTCTGGGTTGTTCGCACTATTTGTGTTGGTCAATCCGGTTTGGGGTGTACGAGCGTCCAACCGTACCGTTTGTTCCAGGCGGAGGGGAGGAGCTGGGGAATATCCCGCAGACGGAGGAGGACAAGTCCTTCGGTGCGAAGGATCTACGCGAAGGCTGTCGCCTCGGAATCTACCGAGAGATAACTGGGGAACACGAAGCCCGAGCACGGTCTGCCGGGGCCGTAATATCATCAGCTTTCGTAGTATGGCAGGAATCGGACAAGGGTACGAAGCCGAGATTCGTAGTCAATTTGTCAAAGCAGTCAAAGCACTGGGCAAAAGGTTCACTAAGAATGGAGAATCTCGCGGAGTTTGCGGCCTCAATTCAGAAGGAAGACGGCCTCCTCTCATTCGACATACAGAAGGGATATCGACATCTCAGACTACACCCGTCGATGTGGGATTGGTTCATATTTCGGTGAGAAGGACGGTACTACCAATGTATCGCTCTGCCTTTCGGCTGGGGTCGTTCGCCTTTGTGGTTCACACGGCTGATGGCAGTGTTTGTGAAAGAGCTGAGGAGACTTGGATTCCGGGTGCTGGCGTATCTGGACGACTTCCTCGTTGCTCC